TAGTTTTGCGTTTTTACATCAGAATGATAGTAAACTAAAACTTCAATGCATGTGTGATAAAGAATATTTGATTAGACATTAAAACTAAGATTAATGATTGAGAGAAATGATAAAGAAAGAGAGATACATAATTCAACAAATTGAAATGGGGCAAATCATCATCAAATATCATTACAGAAGTCATTTTAAAAAGCAAGGAATGCATGTAAAACAAATGATACATTTTTCGTCTCATGTTTCTTTTGCTATAATTATTAAATATTGCAAGATTATTTTTGACAAATGGCAAATGCCTTTTGATTGTCTAAAACAAAATATTTGAAGAAGTAAGAATTTTTTAATACTGCAAAATTGCATTCCTCTATTTAGCTTTTTAGATTTTCTTTACTTTAGCGTATCTGTCAAAATACTCATAAATTTCATTCAACTCAGAATTTATATAATTATGAGAGTCGAACTTCTCTATACGACTGACAGATGTTGTAAAGCAGAATATCATGTATTGTTTAACGGCCTCCATTTCTGTAAGTAGACGACAGCGAGTCTGTTAAACACTGCGCAACAGATTATTTGGCATTTAATTTTGCTGGCTTAGTTAAGCAATACGTCTTTTCGATTCATCTGGTAAACTAAGTTAACATGAGCAAATTTCAAATCAACCCATTTTAAATTTTTTCTAAACCGCTCTTGGTGAATTTCATATATTGCGTCATTTCCTTATAGTGGACATTGAAATGTTTTATTTCTTTCTATGCTTTCGTTTGCTAGAAACGTTACATCTATTTATTCAAAACATGTTCTAGTCGGGTGAACTCTACTTATATGAATTTTTGTAAACATGAGTCTTTATAATGAACAATTTGTCCAATCTATTGCAACAATATCCAATCATCATAAATTATCTGAAAGCAAACGTGAAAATATTTTTGGAGAATGAAGTTAAAATGTTAAATAATTATAGAAATCAATACTTTATTTATATACCAAAAAATCCTAAGAACAAATGATTATATGATTATATTGACGATAAGCCTTTCATAAATAAAGTAAATGTTTTACTACAAAAGCTTTAAAGAAGTTAGTAATCGTCCACCTTCTAATAAATAGAAAATAAAGATGATATCAAGCTCAACAAAAGCGTTTCTTGGGACTCTCATAATCCTGTCTATTAGTGGTCAAATAGTAAATGGTAATGACGACATATCAATCTGCAAGAAAAGCTTAGAGACATTAAAAGACAACGTGAAAGAATGGATGGAAACTTGCGTTGATAAAAATGGCAATGACGATAACACAACTGCATGCAAGGAAGTAAAACAATACAACAAAGAAATGATGCAAATGCAAACAGAAATGTGTTTTTACGAAGGTATAGTCTTTAGATTTAACAAATTTTTATAGTTTCTTGTTCATAGCACCAAAAACAATATTAAACAAAATAGGTAGAAGTTGTGCAGCCAATTTAATTTTAAGTTATTAGTAATGTTTCTACAGTGAATAATTCTTTCTAAAAGTATTATTCTGGTCTTTCACAAAATATTATGATCGTAAAGTCTATAAAAATTTTCATTTTTGTAATCCACTCTCATCATTGTTATTTATAGTTTTTTATTATTTATTTAGATGTTTATCCAAAGCCATATTTGATTATTATGAGCTTTGATAAAATATACTCTGTTGATTCTATTACTGGAGATATTCATGTCAGCACTATTAATGGCTCCAGTAAGAATAAATTTGACCATGCATCAAGATACAATGACATAGAAATTGATGTAGTTGAGAATGTGCTTTACTACATTGATGACAAAGACATCAAACGGGGAAATCTTGACTTTTCTAGAAACGAAATTTTTGCGAAAAATGTTTCTGCTCATGAAATTACAGTTGACTGGATTGATCGTCGTATCTTTTACATTGACTCCACGAACATTATCTACCAAATTTATTTAAAAAAGAAAAATACAAGTGTTATGAGGCTTCAACCAGGCTTACAATTTTCCAGCATTGCATTTGACTAAAACATGGGTAAGGCGATATTGAAATTCTTTTTATTTACTTGTTAGCGTAAAATGAATAAACTATGTCAATCTATTGGTGGGTTTTCTTAAGTAAGGTAAGTGTTTTTGTTTTTAGAGACGGTGTTTTAATTTAATAGAAAAGTTGAATTTTATAAGTCCGTATTATGGTTTGTTATTTAAAGGTTTAATAATAGAAAAAAATATCGATTTTCCAGGGAAATCAAAACTCGCTTTTTCCCGAGGGAGCGAATATTAAGTATTTTGTTGGCCATAAAGAAACAAACGTCATATAGTTCGACAGATTTTTATTAAAATCAACGTCTTTCGAAGAGATTTAGCCAGCAAAATTTTATTATGTGACTATAAGGCATTTCAAACAAACTGCAATAATGAACACGTTTTGTGTGATTATTCAGCACACACGCAGTAGAAAATAACATGCAGATCCTGAAATTTCAAAAATCGACAGCGATATTTATGTTGAGTAAGCAAAGAGCTTTAAGAAAAAAGGTAACAACGGAGGGATCAATGTTTATATATGATGAAGTCATTAAATGAAATAAAACAGAGTGGTAGAAACTGAAATAAAATATTAAATAATTACTTTGCACATAAAACTTTAATCAAATACTCACAGAGCCTTGGCTTTCCACAACCTACAAAAAAGTAGTACAACTTCAATGTGCAACTTAGTGTTGTGCATTTAATTCCATTACTGGCTTCGGCTAGCCACCTAAGAGGGCTTTTCTTTGTCAGAAAAAGCAATTTGCTTGACGCCTCCATGGTAATCATATGCTTAATAAGATATGCCCTACACAAAAGATTTCAACAAATTGGGAGCATTGTTTGTTGCTATACTGTGCTTATTTGTATACTTTTTTGAGGCAGTGTAAGAGATGTGCAACAAACTCAATACGGAATGGCAATAAATTTTTAAAATATTCACGAATGTGGTGAACGTAAAAACCTCAACTTTTCGTTTTGTAATGAAGATAAAAAGAACTACACACATTCCAACGTAGTTACATAAAAAATATAAAAATGGATTTTAGTTTTCAAAAATGTGGCAATTTAAAGAAACATAATTAACATATCAAGTTTATAGTTTTTAAAGCCTTCTTTTAATTTGCATTGAATGGCAGAGTATATTGAAAAGTCGAGAGCTGCAATCTAAGTGGCTGCACACTTCCATTTAATAAATCCAATCACACATCTAATCGAATTATCTGAATGGAAAATCATTCCACTACCTTTAGTTCATGCACAGTTTCTTAGTGTAGCTTAGGAAAACGTTAGGTCTGTAGCTGCTCCACTGATGATGAATCTGAAGATAATAATCATGTGATTAAAAAAAAATTGGCTTAAAAGCCTTGTGGAGCGAGAACTTTCTGAATATGTTATAAATATATAACGACTTTAAAATAATTTCCTCTTCTAATCAATAAATACAAGCCTTCATTCTTCGTGCAAGCCTTCACTCTAAGTGGAATGTATCCATTCCACTTAACCTCTCTTAACTTCACTAAATTTTACTTCTCAAATTCTTTATCATGTAATCCATTTGATACCGCCTACTTTAGTCGTAATTTAACACCTTTTGTAAATACAATATCTTGTCTTAAAATCTCATTATAAATTATTACTTGCCTCAATATGTTTTGAGTAAGGACGAAACGTCAGTATATATTCAATTTTACAGCTTTTGATCTTTTTCTATAGCTTTAACTAAAACTTTATGTTAGGCATTAATTGTTATCATACTACAAAAAAAATTAAATTTCACGAACACAAAAAGCCAAAAGAACGGTAATATATACGACAGAGTTTTTAAAGAGTTCGGGGCAAGGTGCAATGAACGACAAGAAGACATGGACTTTGTTGTTACTCAAATGCGTAATATATTTAAGAAATGTATTGGAGAATGCAATTATGCTGCGATGATAATCAAAACTGCCAGTTGCATCAAACATTTTCGATAAAGTAAAGGCCATAGTATTCAAGCAGTTTTTTCAGCTTGTCTAATCCAAAGATTCGTAAAAACAAGAACATGACATGTCGATAGAATCATCATTTTCATATGATAACAATAGCGCTAGCTCCAGTGTCAATCCTTTTCTGATTTTTCAGAAAAACAATGAAAAAATTTGACAATTAAAAAGAGAAGGTTAAGACAGTTTTGAAAAATCGTTTGTCCAAACAAACAGAAAAAAATTATCAACAAAAGACAATGTTTTTGAAGCTATAGCTCTTTTAAAGACATTTGTGGACAATGATTCATCCAAGGAGCTGCTACTTTTCATGCAAAATGAAACTGAAAAATTAAGAAAGCTTAAAATTGAAATGACAAAGCTTTTTCTTATATTTCTATCTACATTAAATGGTGCATATCATTTACCAACATCAAATTTTCAATTCGAACAAAATTTCCACGCACTAGCTAATTTTCAGCATTATCAATTACCAACACAATTCATTCAGCAGCCACTCCAAACTACAGCATTACTCATTCCGAAAATAATCTCAAACAATACCAATCATTATAAAAGTTATGTGAATAAACTAACATATTACATTTATTATTATATCTGAATCACATGCAATGTTTAATTACTTCATATATTTTAGTTCGGTTTTTAAAAGAGAGATTTCAAATGATAAAGGTGATCTTTTCCTGTTAGTTACATTAGCTTTATGTTGCTATATTATCAAATTTTATGAATATGTTCCATTAAACCGTCTATATATGAAGGTAAATCTGAATACTTTGACAACATCTTTGTCTAAACTAAAAAAGTATTCTATCTTTCCTTTCTTGCATATATTAGCCTGCCAATTGTTTATGCATTTCAGTACCTATAGAGAAAACTAATGTACAAAACAAATATTTTTATTAAGGTATCTATTCTTGGCAGAAAGTACTGAACGTTTCTTATGGTTATGGAGCATGACTGCAACTAAACATCATATTCTTTCAGTTTCACTTCAGTCAATAGCACATGATCTAACGCTTGACATGGCTAAAGAGAAGATTTATTGGCGAGTTTCAAACGGAAATGTTTTTTCTTGTGATTACTACTCCCATAATGTAACTGATTTTGGAACTTCGGGAGGTCCCATGGCAGTATTTGGGGATTTTATTTATATCATGACTAGTGTTGGACGACGTGTCGTTAGTGTCCATAACACAACAGATAAACTTACGAGGCGTAAATTTTTTCTTCCTGTAAACAATGGTTATCTTGATGTAGCTGTACACAGTATCACTCCTGACTCAAAAGGTAGTTAAATATTTACTAATTTGACATAATAATCTAAGACTTGCAAAACCTCCCACGCTATTGTTCATAAAATAGAAAGACGTTAAAAAGTTCAAAGTTACATTGCCTTAGTAAACAGTTGTTCTTCCTTCCAAAATTATAGAAAATTTGGTGAACATTTATTGTTTCTTATCTCATTTAAGCAAATCACTTGGGCTTGAAATCAGTCTTAAACAAAAAAAATATCCTGAAAATAGATTGCTAGACAAAAACGTCCAAATTGAGCATGTTGTGCAGTGAGCTTAAGATTTATCAAATTTCTTAAAATTTCAGAATATTGCAAAACAAAGTTTAAACTTTTACATCTTTGGATTAAACTAGATTTGAAACTTTTCATTATCTTTGTGCATGCTGTTCAAATTGAGGCGATTACGAAGTACTCTCATGGTTTTTGAGATTGATTTTTTATTTATTTTACTTTAAATAAACAAGGCAAAGCCATGCCAAAATACATGAGCTTTGACACATTTTGTGAGAACTACTGATGAATTGATAATTTTCTGAACATTTTTCAATTATCTAACTTCTTTAGTATAACCCTTATAGTGTCCCAAACAGCCAGCAAATTTGTTCATACTCTGTAAATTTTCAACATTTATTTAATTGTTTTGTTTTTACGAAATGCGTAACACCAAAAATACCAACATTGCATAACAAACTTGCTTGCTGGGTACGTGAACGTGCATACTGAATGACAAATTGTGTTCTTTGAGGAAGAATATGTTTCGTTTGAAATCCCTGGTTGATTTTATTTTTAATTTTATTGATCGATATAGCGACAGGCACTTTTCACTTTCCTTTGTGTGGACTCAACACATACTATCGTAAAATTAATGGAACATTGAACTGCACGTGTATGGAAGGATACTCAGGAGAATGTAACTCATGCCAAGGTATGGATTTATTACTGTCTTTATCAAGATTTTTAATGACGGATCATGAATAAAGAGCAACTCTGTGTAATTTTAAAACTTTGATCTTTGTTGAGAATCCTGAGCTTTTCTCTGTGCTGTTGCTTCTGTGCAAGGAATTTGCTGCATCTACATTTTACATTTAACCACATAAATAAGGCTCACAGTCACACATACAAGTTCATTATTATCAATACAATCAAGCATGAAATCAGTAATAAATTTATGAAAAGCTTCAATACATTTAAAATTTCCTCAGCACACAACATTAAAAGTGTATGGTTCTCTAAATGACAAAGCATATGTTAGCATTAACACATTTTGATTTTCTCTACCATAAGGAGAGGGTAGGTTAAGGGTTATGGTAAGGGTTAAGGTTAGGTTTAACACTCTTCCTTAAGTTAGTAATCTAGCTATGGCCCTGCTAACCTAGATACACCATATTAGACAGTCTTGAGTTTATTATTGGTTGGCTTTCGTAAACTAAGAATTCTGTAAATCCAAACTTTAAAAAGCATTTTAACAGACATGCTTCCAGAACTCCTAGAATGAGTGCACCTCAATAATATTACATCAAATGTCTTCAACCAATGGATTATAGCTTTATGAACTCTTTCCAAGAACAGACAAATATGGCCGTTGTCCGATTACTTAGTAGGCTATTTAGGCTGAATCTTACATTCCCGCGTTTTTAAAAGTCCTGTTCTCTTTAAACACAGTTTTTACTCTTTGCCATTCTAGATGAGATAAATGTTTAAAATTCCAATAATATATCCTGTTGGAACTGTACGATATACTATTTTAATATTCTATGTACAGAACTCATAAATTAGTGACTTTATCTCGTTCGAAATTTAAATTTATTCTATAATGTTTACACTATGAGTAACAAAACTGAAGCAAAGGCAATGGAGCATAAGAAACGGGAACGTCGTCAAAAGACAGAAATTTTTGGGAGAAAGTTATATCACTTAAAGTCCCACAAATTTTTCTAAGCTTACAGGCCGCGCAATTAGTCATCCGCCGCTTAGTATGGGTGGTATGCACTGATAATGTTCATTCATACATATCTTGTTAACTTTCGATGTAAGAAAATTAGGTTTTACTGTTAAGCATTCACTTCATTTAAGAACCTAAATAAGCAATATTTTTAAGAGGTACAATAAATAAGGTCAAAAAATGTATGTAAATAATGTGTAATAACGTTTTTCAGTAGATGGCATTAAATTTCTACTGGGTTTAATAAAATTTCAAATGACTTTCTTACTATTCAATTTAACGCTATTAGAGTTAGACTGGAATTTTTTTATTCCAACATAAAAAAATTTCATTTAAACACACATTACAATGAAATTGACCTTAATCTGGAAAATTAGGAATGTTATTTGAAATGGGGTAAAAATGAGCTATATTTGACAATTAACTCAAGTTCATGGACATTTTTGGTGTTATGATTTCCTTATTTTAGCATTTTTTTCTCGATTACAATATTATGGAATGAATTAGATTTTAGCCTAAAACAGACAGTTGATTATGCACAATATAAATACATGACAAATCCACATCAACACTTAACGATTATTATAACCATCCATTTAAACACGAAGGTTTCCCCTTATAATTAAAATGTCAAGTATTAGCCGGACTACATAAGCTTCACTTAAAATTTTTTTTATTTCTTTTAAAATTTCTATACAATTTTTTTAAGAATTGTATTCTTTTATACTTTACTCTGCAACTTGTGGCTACTCTACAAAACCAGCTCAAAGACCCTCCTCATTCCTTAAAAACCCTTTAGGTATTGAAAGACTTGTTTTAAAAAACACATGTCTGCAAAACACAATCCTGCCTGTTTAAGTATTTTTAGTTTTTACAGATTAAAAGTTCATATCAAATATTCTATTCTATTCGTACAAATCATTCTGAAAACAATTACTTATAATTGTTGCCTTATTTTTTTTTTCATTCGTCTAGCAAGCTGTACTTCTGATTGGTTGCATATAGAATCATCTTGTTATTTCTTCAGTGCAATAAGAGCAACATGGAATAAAGCAAGAAAACTTTGTCAACAGAAGGGAGGAGATCTTGCTGTTCCAAAGAATAATGCTGAGAATATTGCCATTTCCAGAATCATCTTGAGAAAACGCAGGGGAAGGTCATTTTATTGGTTTGTATCTCAATAGAAGTGACAATCAGTTCTACACAGTTCAAAATGGCAAGCCCAGTTTCACATTATGGTATGGGAGCGAACCTAATAATTGGGGAGGTGTAGAGGAATGCGTTGTAATTTATGACAACCATTTTAAATCTAAGTGGAATGACGTTGCATGCTGGCATCACTTTAAGTTCATCTGTCAACGTGAGAGACGTAATTTAAACTGTGAGTAGCTTCTATAATTATAAATACATTAGGTACTTTACATAAATGAACTATTTTGTGGTAAAATTGATGCATTCTTTAGTTATTGTTTTCCTGCCAAAAAATGTTAGAACTAGAGAACTCATTTGACCATGTAGCAGATTGTTGAACACTAAAAGCGAATTCTGAACTTTTTATGCAACTAAGAGTGATTCAATCATTGGCCAAAGGTGAAGTGTTAATGGCTTGAAGACAAATAATTCTCTTATCGCCAAAAATAGTTTAACATATTCAACTAATATTAATGTGGTACCAAATTTGGCCAATCTGAAAAAATGCAAGTATATCTTGGTTCATACTAAGAGATGTCAATATAATAAAAAAATGTTATGGAAGAAATGGTCACTTAAATATTAAAAATAATTGAGAGTTATGTTTAGTAATAGGTTTGCCCGGGTAAATATGTCAAAAACAGAGCCTTAGATGAAGCTTTCCCAAACTTATATAAATTCAAAAGACCTGCTTTTAGGCAATAATGAAAATGCCATACCTTCTTAGCCATTCCTATTTACATAACTTCTTTGTCCGTCACGCCCTACTGCTGATCACATTAGGTCACAAAACTTGAATATTCGCACATATATGAATTTTAACCCTCCAATCAACGTTCTACTTTTGGACCTGGTCGTAGCCAACCTACTCGTATTTAGTCTTGTTTTGTTGGTTTTTCTGTGTTTAGTTACTTAGAAAACAATAAATTTGAAAATAAACAGTGCTTGATGGAACAATGAATAAGGCTTAATTGAATAATATTTTTTTAAATTTTTACGGCAAGATGCAACGTCTCCAAATACCGCTGCTTTTCATACCAAGATATGCGTATCAATGACGACATGCTTGGATCAAATATGATTTTTCCACTTCTTGTAAAAAATTTTTCAAAGGATTTATTGCGGGTAAACCGTCGAGCTTGTTTGGTATAGATGATATGCTTTAATTTCGTATAATTTGTTAGGCAATGCATTTTCTTTTGCAAAGATAATCCAACATCTTGAATTAACAAACTCAAAATTTCCGACACTTGCAACGACAGGATAAGATAATTAATATACCCCTGTTAAGTGAATTTTTCCAAAGCTAATCTCATTGCTTTAAATGGCTAAGTTGTTTTTCGTTTTTTTTTTATTAATGATGAAAATAATTCAAAATAACAACCGTCGTAGGTACACGTCACACTTCATAATTCATAGTCCTGTTAGCTATGTAAGAACTAGGTTTGACTTATATCATAAATGCTGCCTTAGCAATCCCTCTACCCGATTTAACTTTCTTTATGTGTGGTTCTGCTTGTAGCTCTTGGTGAGCAATCATCCATCGTGTACAGTAAATGATCGTTGATTAATGTATTATGTTAATAGACTCATTCTTGTTGTCAAAAATCAAACGCAGTCTGTATGATTTACAAAAATATTTGTCTAAACGAATCTAGAAAGTTGTGTTACAACTAAATTACTAATACATATAGTCCCAAAAATCACAGATCTCACTATACTCTCATTTGTTACAGAATTTATTTGACGTTTTAGATGTTGATTTGTTCATATCAAATATTAAAATTTGAGGACAATTATGTTTTTACATTTTCGTAAAATCAATTAAGAAATATTCAAAAGTAATAAATTAAAGAAAACCTTTCATATTTATTTATTACACATCTTTAAATTAGACATAAAATTGCTTAATTTATGGTACACATTTTCAAACAACTTTATTGTGAAACATTAGATATCGGCGAATGTCAGTCTTCTCCTTGTGGCAAAAATCACTCATGCATAAATTACCCAGGCTCCTACGAATGCCTATGCTCCGTTGGATACAATCTTGACAAAACCAAAAAGAAATGTAACGGTATGTTGGTCTTTCTAGATTTTTTAAGTTATGTTGCAAGCTTACGGGACTTCATGAAAATTCTTTACTGTTGAAAACTGCTTAAACTGTTAAAATTTGGGAAATGATTGACAAGGTCTTGTGTTCAAATGCACAAACTATTAGCTAACTCAAGAAGGGCGTTTCTAGAAAGTCTCTGCTGATTAAGTGAATTAAAAGATAAATAGATAACAATTAGTGGTTTATGTTACATTGGAAATGACTTAAGCTTGTTTGAAGTGAGCATTTTATGTGAAACCAACATAAAGTTGGCATTCACTTAATTAGAATTCAATTTATAAGTAAAGACAGTGAAATGTGGTTCTGATTGGTCAATAGCTGTGTTCTCAATAGTCTGTGCAAAACAGATATGAATTCAACCAATCAAATCAATCAAAATGCAAATCGATCATAATTGCATTTTAGGGGCAAAGTTAAAACGTCTGTTTTCAATTTGTCTGTTTCACTTTATCGTTGCTTTAGAAAAGAAATAAATGATGTTTTCGTGTTTGCACTGTCTTATGCCAACCTTAGAGACGTTTTGTACGAACTTTCAAATTCTCGATCAGCTCTCAAGCCCTAACTTCCAAAGGTCTCCTCGGGGATGGCATAAGCCTGTGCAAATACATTAAACAACTTTTATTTCTTAACTAAAGGCCCCGTCATTGTGTATAATATTCTTAGGTTGTTGGTTTAAAATATGTCATCTGTCATTTGAGTTAACACATATGGTCAAAAAATTATGTGTAGTGCAAAAGTGCACTTGCCATTTTTCATGTAGCTATTGCTGAAAAGGCTAATTAATTATTTTAAGTAAAGTTTATCAATCAATCAACAATGACAACAGCAAGCACATAAAAAGAAAGTAGATTGTAGATATAGTAGGCTTAGTATTGAATTTTCAATTGAATTACTCTTGCTGCAGCATTTTCCCCTGAACTTAAGAACAATTAGTTGTTGTTACATTTCCTTATAACTTTATAGTTTCTGACAAAAATCATCTGTGGGGGAGATCATCTATGATCTAATACCTCCCTGAGATTTCCGTTTAATATAAAAAATCTTTTAGTTTATCAAGTACCATCGAGTAGGCAATCAGTTTGAAATCAATATAAAGGAAACAATATTGTCCATAGTAAGATTAGTTTTGATTACATTAGCTACCCGTCAATGGAATTTACAAAACTTTATAAAGTCTGCCTGACCCTGACATCAAAAAATGTTGGTCAAGTGATTCTAAGAATTTTTGTAATAGTAGTCTCAACAATTTTGATGTATACAAGGTTGTATGTTTCATATATGATACAAATGGTGAATGATATATGATGAATGAATATTTTGTGTGAATTTACTGAATTTTGCCCGTATTCTAAAACTTCAATCACACTCATACTCAATGATGCAACACAGAAATCACGCTCCTATAAAGTAATGGCAATTTAATGTATTCAACAATGGCATGATTTTGCCAAAATATTTCAAATTACAATTACAGCTACGCCATGAAAATTTGCGAGGGGATTTTGAAACTTCATTCTGTTTGTGTTGTTAAGTGTAAGCCTTTAAAAAACAGGCATTTGATACCAACGAATACAAGTATTCTATTTGTCGCCTTTGTTACCCATGCTATAATATCCCAGGCGATTACGATTGCAGAAGACGTACATGGGATTTTTGTTCGACGATTATTTCCTATAGTAAGTTTGTATAAATGCTCCATGACAAATGTTTTACTATCAAAACCAATAGGAGAGATTCCTGCAAAATATAGACAAAAGACCGAAGCGAAGAATTTAACTAGTCTATCTAAGGTAGATGGCTACATTTTATCGGCAAATGAAGCATGTTGAAGTTCTAAAGTTCATCGTAAAAATTTTTCTTTGTATTTTTTTTTTCAAAGTCGTAGTGTGGCATACTGCGAACGTTATTATACGAACAAAAAATAGGAAAAGGTTATACAAAAGTGAACTTAAATTTTTCTTACAATGTTTATGTATGAAATTAAGAACCTTGTAGAATTTTACTAAATTTCAAAAATATTTCAATTCGTTTTTCATTTATGCAACGAAGCGATATTTTTATTTCCCGCAATCTGTTTGGCTGCAGCGGGCATCTTTTACGATACCTAAATTATGATTCAAAAGTGATATTTTTAGCAATAAGTTGGTTACAAAGTGAAATTTAAATTTCTAAAATTGATTTAAATGCGATGTAAATTGTTCAGCGATAAAGCACAGTGTATTCAGATGAAAGTCATCATAGCAAGATTGTATTTTACTGTGGTGAAGAATAAAATTTGTAATAAAAAATCCATATTTTTTTTCAATATCAAGCTGTGTCGGCTATTTTACAACGCAAATTTCTTTATAATAAAAATAAAAAAATATGTTATTTACCGTTTAGGTCGGTTATACGGAAAAATATTTTCACAAGGTCTTAAAGGCTCCGGTAAATAATATACATTTATTTTTATCTAGCGGTCCAAAGCGATATTTTTTGATTTCCAGCAATTCGATTGGCTGCGTGAGCGGGTAGCTTTTTACGCATATTTGCCCGTGGGCACAAATGATAGTTTTTTGCAATGTTTTTGCTTGCGAATTGAAATGTAAATTTTTAAATATGATTTAAAAGCGATGTAAATTGTTGAACGCGTAGGCAGAATGTCTTAAGATGATATTTATCATAGCCAGAGTGAATTCTACTATCCAGACGAAGCAAAGTTTGTAGAAAATCCAATTTTATTCTCAACATATTTTTTTGCAATGTATTTGTTTACGAAGTGAAATGCAAATTTTACAAAATTGATTTGAAAGCGATGTAAATTGTTTAACGAGTAAGCAAGGTGTATTCAAATGAAAGTTGTCGTTGCAATATTGCATGGCAAGAGGCCATGCATTTTACTGTCCAGACAAAGCGACGTTTGCTGAAAAGCATCAAATTTTAGTCTCAACATTAAGTTGCAGACCTTGTAAAAATTTTTTTCCGTATACGGACCTCGCAGCCGGTAAATACGTATTATACACGGGCGGATCCATTTGGTGTCCAATGTGGCACTGGAAACGGTCAAAATTCACAAAAATCTTGAAATTCAGACATTAAACATATATTTTCTTAGTTTATTCAGTTTATTGAGTCTATTTTTAACCAAAACACTAAAAACACATGAAATGCACTTGCTGACGTACTCAAAATTCGGATTTAAGCGACAGATTTTATAAATCATCGTATTATTACGCCGTTTAGATTTGTCTAATGTAATCCAATTATCCTAAAAAACGTAACTCGATTGCTGTTCGGAGTCCAGTTTTGCTGTTACAGTAGTATACAGAGCGTTGCCGCTGGCGCACTTCACCTTGAGAAAGCATTGCCGCTGGCGCACTTCAACTTGAGAAAGCGTCGTTTCTAGCGCACCTCACAGTTTGAGAAGGATTATAAACAAATCTAAGCGCCCCAGCCCTAGCTCACTTACGTACTTCTTGTAATTATGCTAGCATAATTACAGCGAAGGTCAACCCAGGACAACGGCAGGAGCCAAAGACGGCGCAGCCGGCAGTCAGGGTCTATTATTTAGAGAGATATACTCTCATAGAGTAATCCAAATGTCCAGCCATGAGGCAGGGCAAGAACAAGTGTGCGTGGTTTCTACCCGGAAAGCTCACCACATGTGGGCGAAGCTCCATAGGTGAATACTGTGGACTTCATATGAAGCGATTAAGGGAAGGCGGGGACATCCACAACCATGTCGTAAGTGTGGCGTCGGAATACAGGCAGAAACTATCCTTTGTCAAGCCTGCGGTTCTGATAGGGTGCATCATAAGCTCGTTATAAACAGAAACAAGCAAGAAAGAGATTTGCTAGAGTACTCGCCGAATTAATTTCGATTTAGAGAATTATCTCGCGTAAGATATAGCATTAAAATTTGCGACACTTGAGATGAATACTGTCGAAAACTTCTGCAACTATATGACCAAGTAATCAGCGGACACGCGCTGAACGACTCTTTAAGGCTCTTCAACCTCTTGCTGACCCGACACCCATGCAAAGAAATGTCACTCCGCCTATCCCAAAACCGCGAAAGCGCATGCCTATCCCAAAACCGCGCAAGCGCAGGCCCGCCAAGCCTACTGATGATGAGATGAACACATCAATGAGTTTCTGGCTGAATTTATAAACCACGACGCCCCACAGGGCTACTCCACCACCTACGGAACTTAAGTGGGATGAAACGAAGGATCTGAGAGCCTGGAAAATGCAGGTGCCGAAGGGGCATCCCTCCGAACGCAACTTTATGGCTATCCTCAAAAACGCCCAACCCTGCATCAAACGCAAACTCGTTGAGGAGCTATTAGCTCTACGAGGAGTTAAGTTCCAGTTGGCTGTAGAAGTTGAGCTTAGGAACGATGAAGCAAATGGTATTGAAGTTTTTCAATCACCAGTGCTCCTCACAAAGCAGATGACGCTGCTACAGACGCATGAGATTCCGCAAGCCCTACATGAAGCCTTCCCAACAATCCTGGAGAGATTGGAAAAGTTCACTCGGGAAGGGTCTGGGTGGATAGTGGGTCGTGTGAAAACACTCTGTCTTGACATTGCTCACTATCAGCCTTTACGCGGAGGATCATACCTTCCTCTCCCCACCGCGGTGAAGAATAAGAAGGCGATCGTCAACGTGAAAAACAAAGACGACGACTGCTTCCGCTGGTCTCTGTGGGCTGTGCTGTTTCCTGCAGCTAAAGAACCGCAACGGGCGGGCAAGTATCCCACTGAAGACGGCCTTGACTTTGCAGGACTGAGCCCACCCACACCACTCTCCCAGCTCGAACGAGTAGAGCGTGAGAATGACCTTGCTATCAACGTGTACGAGTTGGAAGGCGGCGTCGTTCCTTGCCGTCTAAGCAAAGTAGAGAGAGCTCGCAAGACTGTGACTCTCTTCCTCGTCTCGGATTCGAAAAGTCCTGAGAAACACCACTACACTTGGATCA